ACAACTACAAATACAAAGAAATTTAAAATAAACTTAAACAAAGGGCAGAACCCTAAAATTTTATCCTGCTAGGGAGATTTTGGAATAAAACTAATCCTCTCATGACAAGCTAGACTGTTTCTCAGGATTTATTTCATAACATGTTATGTTGTTGTTAACTGTAAGTGTTATAGATAATGTTGAATTGAGACCTTCAAAGTTTTTTCTGCAGGGTTTAAATAAGTGAGAGAAAAACTTTGTCTAGCCTGAGCAGGGCTGGAGATTATGCCCCGACAATAATTAAGTTAGTTTTTCTTTTTTTTAGGATATGACATCATCTAGAAACTTCTAGCATTGTTGGGATCTGGAGCTGTACCACCTTTCTCCAGCAGAGTGTGCCGTGGATCCTCCTGAGCTGAGCCCCCAACACACCTGTGGCGCATCCCGTCATCAGAGGATCCTCCAGTATATAACCTGCCTTCAGACCTTGCGTCAACGCCGCAGTGTTGATCTAGTTTGGTTAGCACCTGAGCCTAGAAAAACCGGAGAATCTTTGCTATCTCTGTTGAGATAAGATTCTAATTCTTCCTTGTCTCTGTCTCACAGGAATCCTGTACTCCTTGAAGCTCTGGATGAGCTTAACGTGCCGAGCCTGCCCTCGTGAGCCAAACCTGAAGACTCTTCTCTGGATTCCCCTGCAGCTCTTGACTAAGAGCTGGAAACCAAAACCAAGGTCTGCCCTCAAAGTCAGAAGTAAGACGCTGAAGCGGTTATTGTACTCTGCTGAACAAAACAATCTCTGGACCCAACAGTTCCTCTCTCAAAGAGATACCCGGACTCTTTCAAGGTATTCATCAGCAAACTCTCTGACTCATAACTTCCCAGTCCCTGAGCTAACTGAACTATCATCCTTGCAGACTCCAGTGAACTGTCCCCTGGCCAGAACCTGTTCCAGTGCAATATTCATGTGCTTATGTTTCAATAAACATTGTTTAACTTTTCATCAGCCTCCGTGTGTGTTCTGCATTTTGGGCTAGCTCAGATTACCCATCATGACTAGCACATTTTACACTGGGCTCACACTGAACCATGTGAGGCTGTGGTGGGGTGCTGCAAAGAACTCAAATCTTTTAAAAAACGTTTGGTACACTCCCAAGCTCACATGCTAAATCATGAATGGAATGGAAATCAACTTTATTGTCATTACATTGTCACAAGTGCAACAAAATGAACTTTAACCCATCCACTTGGGGTGTGGGGTCAAGGGTCAGATATCCTAATGCAATATAGCTTTTTAACCATACCATCAATGAAACCTAACCAACACTAAGTAACTTTTTTAACTTTCATAAAATATTTTCATAAATTTTGTGACTAGTTCAATGACACGTCTGTCACACTAAGCAACTTTGAAGAAGATGGCAGTAGCCCTGCCACACAAAACAACTACAAATGTGCAGACTGCTTTAAGGCATTTGTCACTTTCCTTATTTGCTTAAAAGATGGAATTTGATGCAACTAACTTTCCCTATGAGACTCTATGTTTTGCTAGCTTAGCCAAATTCAACCAAAACTGAAAGTTCTTTAGTACTGCTTTAAAAAGGGTGTGTCCAGATTTAATGCAATCCAATTTTATTTAAGCACTTAAAAACAACCACAGCTGACCAAAGTGCTGTACAATAAAAAAAAAAAAATGTATACGTGAAAAACAAAACCTAAAACATTACAGATAAAAAACAAAACAGCTAAAACTGTTATGATGAAACATGGGTAAAAGTAACATTCACACAACCAAATCAATAACATTGAGTAAAAGATAAAAGCAATAAAAAATATATCAAAGCCAACTGTCTTGCTAGGTGTTAAAACCCAAGGAGAAAAGGTGGGTTTTGATAAGAGATTTAAAAATCTGAGAAGAGGTCTATCTGATGTGCTGAGGCAGGTCGTTCCAGAGCTTTGGAGATGCAACATATGAAAAACCTTTATGTCTGTTCTATATCTAAATGAAAGGAATTCTACAAAAGAAAATGTTTGCGTTAGGATTGGTTAATGCTATTGTTTCCCATTCAAACACCATATAGTTTCTAATCCTTCTCAGAAGTTAAATGGCAAAATAAAATTACTGTAACATAGACACAGAATTTTTTTTTTTGCTGGTCTCTCTGAATTTCACAAATTATTTCTGATCCCTCAGTTTTACTTCCATCCAAGAGTTGATAGTTACACTCTGCAGAACAGCTTTACAGTGCATCGATACTAAATAAAGTAATTTAAAAACATAATTTATTTATTAACATTTGGTTGCAAAAATTTCCAAAAATTTTCTTAGTAAATTAAAAATCTTAACATAGAAAAGTACACATATCTACCATGGTTTTAGCAAAAGATTACAAAATGCATTGCTTACAAAGTTGGAAAGGACAGAAATAAAATAATCGATTAAGCTGTGGATCCACCAAGACAACAGTGGAGAACTTTGATGAAATGAGAAATAATATCTAATTTGGGTAAAAGGACAAAATAAAATGGCAATTAAAAATTAACTAAACATGTCGGTCATAGTACTGGCCACTTTCGATTCATTGCTTTCATTGTTCTATTTAAGACATCCTTGTTCCGTTGGTATAATAGTTCTCCTCACAAAGCTGAAAGAAAATCAAAATAAACAAGGATAAGGCCGATTTATTATTGCGTTTCAAGTGCATGTGATGGCTTTTTCTTCAAAAAAAATGTGTGCATTATTCCACCCTCCACTGTTATTAAAAAAAAATAAAATAAATACAGCAGTATCCCCAAATAGTGTATTTCTTGACAGTCAAAAGTTGTCTGGAAACATCTGAAGTCACTTCAGAAGGTCGGACATTTTACAGGGGACCTCTAAGGGAAATGCATTTAGATGCATTTTAGTGGCTCTAATGTGAAAAACTCACCAAAGTATATTACTTATTTTGCTATGACTTTAAGGTCTAAAATCATTGTTTAATTTACAAACTAACTCCCATCATCTGTGATGAGAAAAGAAGGTTTATATTTTGATTGCATTTATTTCCCTTAAGTGCCTTTTTCATAATAATGCTATATTTACTTTTTACAACAAGGTAATGTTTTAAGGTAGTTTTGGGATAAGGTTAGAATATAAAAAAAATAGCTGCTTGGTGGAGATCTCAGGTCTCCAAGTGCTTTCTAGTTTGTACTGACTCTTTTTATTTTCAGAAAGAAACATAACATTAAGCAGCCCGAACTCCTAAAGCAAAAAAGAAAACCAAAGTAAAACTAACAAAAACGACCCAATGTCACCTCTAACTCTTTGCCTTTACAATAATAATTTATAAAAGAATTTACATAGTACATTCTCTTTAGGAAACAGAATATTATTCAAACTTTATTGCAGATTAAAAAGGGTTCACATAATTAGAGAAAAAAAAAGTGGTGATTGTATAGAAGCCTCACTACTTTCAGTTTACTGTGGGGAATCTACAATTACAGTGTAGTTTAACATGATGAGAGGGTGCATGTATGGATGACTGTGAGGAATCTAGAAGTCCTTGAAGCCATTTACCATAGAGAAGCAAACAAATAACGATTATCAAGTAGCATGTCTTCCATAACAAAAGGGGACTCACCTTTTCTGTCTCTGAAGTGGCCCACCAGGAGCAGAAAGATGATAAGTAGTTTTCCACTGAGTGCTCCAACAATCAGTGGTATTGGCAGTGACGGATTTTCAAGCATATGGGTAGCATCTTTAAGGGATTTTTAACAATAAAAAATATTAGAGATTAAAATCAAATACAATATTACATCAAATAATGTTCTAAGATATATTTTCTTACATTTTACTGCCATCCAGCTCTGTGGTGAAGCTTTTCCTGAATGTTCACACTTGTAGAAGCCTTCGTCTGACTGAGACACTGCAGAGATCTTCAGCTCCCCTCTGCTGTCATTTTGGACCAGTTTGTCATTGTGATAGAAAAACACATTGGAAAGTATATTTTGTCCTCTGAGTCTGCAGCTCAGAGTAACAGAACCTCCTTCAGTCACAGGATGGACGGGGCTCACCAGGAGAACATCTCCATCTTGAAAACAGAAAAATCTTTCAAATGTTAGCTACTGCAGACCATAAGAAAAAATCAAATGAATATGGGATCAACATGTTTTTGTTCTCATTAGATATTGTAATCTTGAACAACCCATTATATGTGAGAGATCCTTAAAGGAATAGTACACCCAAAACATGATTAGCCTTAATTTTTACTCACCCCCATGCTGAACAACACTCTGGAGTACTTTTTTGATATCTCAAATGCATCTGGAGATCTGGGAGGCTTCTTGCTGTCTGCTGACATTCAAATAATGGAGGTCTATTGTGCCCGAGACAGAAAGGTCCATAAAAGTCCACAAAAACGTGTCAATATTCCTCCATACTGCTCGTCCAATGTATTCCAAGTGTCCTGAGTTGGTAGCATCCAGAATTTACTCGAAACGAAGTCATTTAGAATGTTTTTAGAGCAAAAACAGTAGTGTATAGTATTTCCTAAAAGCGCGTTCACGAGTCCAAACCAGATGAAAGTGGAAATTGGATGAGCAGTATGGAGAAATATTGGCACGTTTTTTGTGGACTTTTATAGACCTTTCTGTCTCAGGCGCCGTAGACCTCCATTATTTGAATGTCAGCAGACAGCAAGAAGCCTCCCAGATCTCCAGATGCATTTGAGATATCAAAAAAGTACTCCAGAGTGTTGTTCAGCATGGGGGTGAGTAGAAAATGAAGGCTAATCATCTTTTGGGTGTACTATTCCTTTAAGCAAATAATTATTTCTGAGACAAAGGTGTGAATAATTGCCTGTGTTTGGTAGTTAGTGTTGTAAAATGAAAAGCCAAATGTATGCTATTTATCATTTCACTGCGTGCATAGCCTGTTTTGACTTGTTTAACACACAACCACTTATGTAGTTGTAAAGCAATGCTGCTATTTTGTATATTTTAGATGTTCTTAGGATTTTATATCCCTTAGAAGTGATTTGTCACTCTGTACCTGTGAGAGTCATACAAATAAAATTTGCTCACTTACTCACTTTTTCAGAATTCATGTCAACATGGACATAGATAAACAGAAAATAATAGCTGATTGGACTAAAAACATCTCATGGGAACATACCAGTCAGAATATTCTGATTGGAGTTGGCAGGATCAGAATGAAATTTGAATGATTCTGAAAGGAGTTGTTTTTTGATGATTGGCAAAATCCGATCAACAGGCATTTAAAACCTTGTTGGAATCAAGTAACTCAGACTGATACAAACTGACCTGCGTCTACCTGCACCCCATATCAACGTCATGTATTTCTGCTTTGAGTAGCTAGACGCTGATCAGAATATTCTGTCAGGCATGTTTTTAATGCAGTCGGATACTTTACTTATCTCTATATAAATGGTACAATGTGATGATTTTTTTTGCTTTTGAGTCTTAACAGATCTCACTTCAATTGCTACATTTTGTCAATGAAACAAAGCTATTGATTAAAATGCAAGTGGGATATCAGTATTGAAAGATGAAACAAACTTAAAGGTATAGTGGAAGATGTTCTTTTTCCAGATGGATCATCAAAATAAGTGGTCCTCCTAATTGTCAATCATTCAAGCCATATGTTTACCTAAGGCCGTCCTAGGTGCTTCTCCACATTTTCTCTTACCGGTGGTGAATATGACATTGTGTAAAAATTGCAAATCATTCATATCTTCAGGTAACACAGAGTACATGTCAGACTTAATAATATTACTTTAGCGATAGCTTCAAGGTGTTGCTTTATTGTATATCTCGTACCATGTCTTTTGGTTGTGCTGTTCTTTTTTCATCTCGTTGCAGGTGATGAAGCAGACTGAAAATGTTTTGTCATTGTCTCCTTTCTATCTCTTCTTTCTTTCATCTTTTCTCTTTTTTTTCTCTTCTTATTTTTCCCCTTTCTTCTTCTGTTTTTCTGCTCTATTTACATTGCAGTGTCCATATAAACTGTAAAAGTCCCTGCATAATTATAATAAAGCAATTTATATGCATGAAACAAGTGGAGCAATATGGCAATTGCCATAATGCTACACTTGTGAAAGTAAAATCTGTTGGGCTCTTTTTGGCATCAAGACAATTATTCTTATTGTCACATTGCCAGACAGGACACTGTTAAAAAAAAAAAAAAAAGAAAAATTGCAAATCTTCTTTTGGAAAGTGAGCTTGTATGAGCAATGCAAACAGCAACTTTTAAACAAGGTGTGCACAAGGAGAATTGGGCTTTGCATGATCTCAAACGCATTTAATAGACGTTCCCTCTCAGGAGCGAGTACAGGGTTGTGCAAGTAGAGAAGGCAGGTCTTTCCAAAAATTTCTCGAAAATTCCCCACTACAACTTTAAATTAAGTGAACTTTTTACTCCAGGGAACAGTGTGCTCAGTTTTAGCAAATAATCCTGTTTGGCTAAACACAAATAGAACATACATAACAACTCACCCTGTACAGTGATGTTGACTGCATTGCTGAACTCTCCTGATCCAGACTCACACCAGTATACTGCTTTATAGGACCGACGACTGTTGATGGTACATGAGGATCCAGTCATTGCTCTCCAGTTTGAGCAATTTTTGATATATGTGAGATATCCTGTTTCTGTAAACCTCTTTACTCTCCACTGAGTAGAGTTTCCACCACAGTTCAGTGTCAAAGACTCGGAGGTGAAGTGTTGCTCTCTGTCAGAAGTTACTATAAGAGACTCTGCTGAATGAGAATCTGAAATAGAACATGTAATTAAGAATTAATTATATTATAAGTAAACGTATCATGCTACCTTTGTTACAGTATAAAAATCCCCCCCCCCCCCCAAAAAAAAACCAGGTAGATGATTTATTTCTTCTCCTAGACATTTGGGTTATGCTGAAACATTTTTATTATCATATCATAATCGTCCGGCATATTTATCAAAAAAAAAAAAAAAAACTACCAGTTAATTGTCCGTGTGCATTTATATGATATAAACAGAACTGACCTGGAGACCAGACAAAGTTTGGTTCACTGTAATCTGTGAAATACCCTGGGTTCCCTGTTACAGCTCTACATGCATATCCTGCTGTGAGTGTCTGTCTATGGATGATGTAGGAGTCCTCTACAGTCCCTTTGATGTTATCAGACAACAGTTGATACTTGTAGGTGTCCAGTGATAAGTCAGGAACAGCTTTATACCAGTAGAACCTCCAGCCTGCAGACAGTTTTTCAATCTGACACTTCAGTTTAACTGATGCTTCAGGGCCCAGCCATGATGCAGACACCGTCAGGACAGGTTTTGGCTCTATCGAACAGAACATAGTGGAAATATAACTTGTATTATTCTACAGTATTAGAAATAAAATCATCTTTTTGTGGTAAAAGAAAGGTTACACAAGGTATTGAGGTTACACAACAGCAAAAAAAAAAAAAAAAATCCCTTTCTGGAAAGAACATTACCATACAATATTACCAATCTAACATAATAACAGCATTTATAATAATCATTAATAGTTCTAAACACTAACTTCCTTAGACCCTGAGGCTCAGCAAAGGTTCAGAATTCATTCTGACAAAATCTGTAGACACACGTAAAACATGTTTTTATTAAGAAATTTGCATACACTCTGATCTATTCAGAAAAGTTTAAATAACAAGTTTTCGACAAGACCCTTAAACCTGACTGAAAACATGGTTTAACAATTAGTTAACTTAGTTAACTAGAATTTTAGATATTTTCCACTAATAAATTTGTTTTTTAGTCAGACAGTCAGTTGTCTACCAAATAATAACAGTCCATTATCAATAACAACATGGACATCTGTCTTTTGAGGAACAACTATATTTGGGCATTTGAACAAACACACTTGTAGCTGGAGTAGAAAAATAGAAAAAAAGGGTTAGGATTTAAACCTAAGATGGCCATGTCATGGTCAAATATTATATATTTAGTGTCTGCTCATCATCACTGAAGTCTATAATAATCAGATTGATGATTTACCAAACTGCTCTCTTAAGGATCTCCTAAGCATTATGAACAAGGTCACTCTTTGGACCTGAGGCCTAAACATTCTGTTTTAAGACTATCTAGGCTCATTTGGATGTAAAACAAACTACTCCTAGAAAGGCTAGCTTTCAGGATTGATCTGAATACTAGAAATGGCTCCACCCAACAGCCAATTATGTGTTCAAGAAAAATTTTTGCTCAAAAATTGGGTGGGGGTCTGGGACATTGCATGGTTTGGCCCCATCTATGTGGGCGTGCGGCTGGCTGTCCTGGCTGTACAGCAGGTGGGATACAATCACTATGACCAAATGCATCTTAGTCTGTAGTGTTGATCAGCCTTGCTACCTTGTTCTGACTATGCCTACAATCTGGTGGCAGGACGCAGGGGGATGTCTGTCACCTGAGCTTGGGTGGCTTCCGTGCCATTATTTACCTAGTGGGTTGGACGATGTGGGTTGTGACTGCCATTGATATGACAGGAGACGATGTGGGTTGTGACTGCCATTGATATGACAGGAGACGCGTTCTCTGGAGTGACGAATCGCGCTTCTCCATCTGGCAATCTGATGGACGGGTCTGGGTTTGGCGGTTGCCAGGAGAACGGTACTTGTCTGACTGCATTGTGCCAAGTGTAAAGTTTGGTGGAGGGGGGATTATGGTGTGGGGTTGTTTTTCAGGAGCTGGGCTTGGCCCCTTAGTTCCAGTGAAAGGAACTCTGAATGCTTCAGCATACCAAGACATTTTGGACAATTCCATGCTCCCAACTTTGTGGGAACAGTTTGGAGCTGGCCCCTTCCTCTTCCAACATGACTGTGCACCAGTGCACAAAGCAAGGTCCATAAAGACATGGATGACAGAGTCTGGTGTGGATGAACTTGACTGGCCTGCACAGAGTCCTGACCTCAACCCGATAGAACACCTTTGGGATGAATTAGAGCGGAGACTGAGAGCCAGGCCTTCTCGTCCAACATCAGTGTGCGACCTCACAAATGCGCTTCTGGAAGAATGGTCAAAAATTCCCATAAACACACTCCTAAACCTTGTGGACAGCCTTCCCAGAAGAGTTGAAGCTGTTCTAGCTGCAAAGAGTGGACCGACGTCATATTGAACCCTATGGATTAGGAACGGGATGTCACTTAAGCTCATATGTGAGTCAAGGCAGGTGAGCAAATACTTTTGGCAATATAGTGTATATATATATATATATATATATATATATATATATATATCAGGCATCCCCAAACTCGGTCCTCAAGGCCCCCTGTCCGGCAGGTTTTAGAGGTTTCCTTGCAAGGGCAATTGCCATGGGAACAGTGTTTCATGGACCTACAGTACTGTGCACTCTCAAAGCACACACATGAATACTGATATACTGATATATAAACATACCCCCACCCAAGACCAAGCTCGACCTTCCCTGCTAAAATGATGAGTTTTCTCCATTGCTTCTTTGTGCGGTTTTTTCTTACAATGTCAAACTGTATCCTGCAAAGGATAATGTGTCAAAAAAAATTTTTTTCCTCTTCACCCTTTTTTATCCTTTTCTCTTTTGTATCCTAACTTTCATGGCAACAAGGCCTCAGGCACCCCCCACCCCACCCCCACCCCCATTGAGAATTTCTGTGTTTTTGTATTTTCTTGGATGTAATGTACAGACACTTAATTTTCACCCTACTGGGGTGCTGCTCCAGCCTGGGTGACAAATGAAGTAATCTTTTCTAAATCAACTCAACAGCCTAAGGCCTGAGCAAAAAAAGAGGAAAAAAAGATCAATCTGTGCAAAAAAAAAAACATAAGCAATATTGGATACAAGTTCACAATACAAAAATATTACAGACACAGATGTAAAATGTATTAAACTTACTGTATATAGTGATGTTGACTGCATTGCTGAACTCTCCTCTTTGAGTCTCACACCAGTACACAGATTCATCGAACTGCTGGCTGTTGATGGTACATGATGATCCAGTCATTTCCCACGAAGTGGAGCAGTCAGATAAGTATGACTGACGGTTTATTACTGTATATTTCATTACTCTCCACTCAGTTGAGCTACCTCCACAGTTAAGTGAGACAGTATGATCTGTAAAATGTTTCTCCTTCTCAGGATTCACTGTGAGAGACGCTTCTGGATGAAAAACTGAAACATGATACATGTATTAAATGTCTCACAGTATTCGATACTAGGATCTACAGCAATAGTCGTGCTTCGATTAGAGTTTACTCAGACTGGTGTTTGATTAGATTTTTCAATGTTTTTTAGTTTTAGTTGTTTTCTTTTTTGTTTTGTTTTTTGCACATTGATTCTACTGCATAAGAAAAGTGCTGAATAAATAGAAATTTTCTTTGCTTTTTTGTCTTTGCTTTTTTGTCTTTTTTGTAAATTGTATTTTTAAGAAATTTACAATATATATACATATATATATATATATATATATATATATATATATATATATATATATATATATATATATATATATATATATATATATATTAGGGATGGGACGATTTATGAAAACCGTCAGAATCATTCGGTTCGACTGTCTCGGTTCGGTTCGGGTGTGTTTCGTTCGGTTCATGCGCTGCTCCTTTTTCTCATAGAGGAAGCGATTACACTCCAGAGCAGAAGGTGGCGGTACTGCGACCAAAGCCAACCGCCAGTAGTAAACAAGAAGAAGAAGAAGCGAAGCAGCTTAGCCGGGTGTAGCAGGGAAAAAAATCAGTTGTTGTGGAGAATTGTGTCGGACTGGCGAGTGGGAAAGAACAGGAGTTGGAAGACGCGCCAGCAGCACTTTATAGGTCTGCTGTATGGGAGCGCTTTGCATTTAGAGTGACCTACGATGACAGCGCAAAGAAAGTTGTGGATAAAAGTCCAACAGTGTGCAAGCATTGTGCAAAACGTTTTGTTTATGCTAACAGCAACATGTCATGCTAACCCCGAAATCCCTCGTACTCCGTCAGCAACCCCGCTGCGCTCCAGACCGGCTGCTCAAAGCAAAGCCTACAGCCCCCACTGTGGCTTTGTCTGCTCCCCTCTGAGTTCCTTGGAGATGGTAGAGAGCATGTGACCTGACAACAGCCAGATGCATGTGGCGGAGCGAGACATGAGCGAGACATGCATCTGGCTGTTGTCAGGTTAGAGAGCATGCGCCAGATGATTAAATTCAAAGCAGCAAAACATACGGAAATGATCCAGGGTTTCCGCGGATCATTTAAAATAATTACAATCCATTATTTTTGGGGGGATTTTTTCATTAATTTCATAATTTTTTATGGAATTTCGGTGTAACAATCAACATGTATCGAATCGAACCGAAAACCGTGACCAGAAACCGTGAATCGAACCGAACCGTGGATTTTATGAATCGTTCCACCCCTAATATATATATATATATATATATATATATATATATATTTATAATTACACAAAGAATAGACATACAGAAACAACACATTCTCAATGACCAAACCACCACATTGCAATAATAATATCTCAATACAAAGTTTAACATCCATGAAATTAAAGTCAAAACCCAAAAAACGGGTCACCAACCAATGGGCAGGAGTTGATCCTCTAATACACAGCCCTTCCTCATTTGCATAATGAGGCAAAAATGCAGACAAAAAATGTAAAAACAACAGGCAGTACTAAATACAACTGAACAAATAAATAAGGTAAAAAAATGCAAAGGAAGAATAAAACAGACAAAAATATTATAACATGCACATAAATAAATTCTTAAAAAATAAGTAATTAATAAATAAATTTGAAGAATATAACAGACAATAAACAAATTATATAATTATTACAAAGGCGAATAAATAAAGAACCTAATTGAAATAGATATTTATATATACAATTATGTCCACTGTATAATTTAATTTCTACCTACATTTATTTGATTATTGTATTTTTTGGGGCAATTAATTGTGTGCTTAATTATTTATTGAGCATTTATTTATTTTTGTATTTATCTTTAAATATGGTAGAGCTGGTCCCCCGTTGTTGGTATCCTCTGCAAAGAAAAGAAATGTACATATTCTAGAAATTTTGAAAATGTCAGTAATATAAAGGATAAATGATTTTGGCCCCAAAACTGACCCCTGGGAAACACCACAAACCATGTCCGAGCACAATGACTGGGAGTCGCCCACTGAGTATCATCAAAAAATTCTACCAAATGGGATAATATACACTATATTGCCAAAAGTATTTGCTCACCTGCCTTGACTCACATATGAGCTTAAGTGACATCCCGTTCCTAATCCATAGGGTTCAATATGACGTCGGTCCACCCTTTGCAGCTAGAACAGCTTCAACTCTTCTGGGAAGGCTGTCCACAAGGTTTAGGAGTGTGTTTATGGGAATTTTTGACCATTCTTCCAGAAGCGCATTTGTGAGGTCGCACACTGATGTTGGACGAGAAGGCCTGGCTCTCAGTCTCCGCTCTAATTCATCCCAAAGGTGTTCTATCGGGTTGAGGTCAGGACTCTGTGCAGGCCAGTCAAGTTCATCCACACCAGACTCTGTCATCCATGTCTTTATGGACCTTGCTTTGTGCACTGGCGCACAGTCATGTTGGAAGAGGAAGGGGCCAGCTCCAAACTGTTCCCACAAAGTTGGGAGCATGGAATTGTCCAAAATGTCTTGGTATGCTGAAGCATTCAGAGTTCCTTTCACTGGAACTAAGGGGCCAAGCCCAGCTCCTGAAAAACAACCCCACACCATAATCCCCCCTCCACCAAACTTTACACTTGGCACAATGCAGTCAGACAAGTACCGTTCTCCTGGCAACCGCCAAACCCAGACCCGTCCATCAGATTGCCAGATGGAGAAGCGCGATTCGTCACTCCAGAGAACGCGTCTCCACTGCTCTAGAGTCCAGTGGCGGCGTGCTTTACACCACCGCATCCGACGCTTTGCATTGCACTTGGTGATGTATGGCTTGGATGCAGCTGCTCGACCATGGAAACCCATTCCATGAAGCTCTCTGCGCACTGTTCTTGAGCTAATCTGAAGGCCACATGAAGTTTGGAGGTCTGTAGTGATTGACTCTGCAGAAAGTTGGCGACCTCTTCGCACTATGCGCGTCAGCATCCGCTGCCCCCGCTCCGTCAGTTTACGTGGCCTACCACTTCGTGGCTGAGTTGCTGTCGTTCCCAAACACTTCCATTTTCTTATAATACAGCTGACAGTTGACTGTGGAATATTTAGGAGCGAGGAAATTTCACGACTGGATTTGTTGCACAGGTGGCATCCTATCACAGTTCCACGCTGGAATTCACTGAGCTCCTGAGAGCGACCCATTCTTTCACAAATGTTTGTAAAAACGGTCTGCATGCCTAGGTGCTTGAATTTATACACCTGTGGCCATGGAAGTGATTGGAACACCTGATTCCAATAATTTGGATGGGTGAGCAAATACTTTTGGCAATATAGTGTATATAATAAAAAGAATTGGCTCTTGCACTGATCTCTGTGGTAATTCACAGGTAACCCTGGAGCATGAAGATTTATCATTAACATGAACAAACATAAATCTGTCAAATAAATAATATTTAAACCATCCTAATGCTGTTTCCTTGATTCCTACAAAATATTCAGCAAGTCTTTCTAAAAGAATAGTATGATCAACTGTACCAAATGCAGCACTGAGATGTAACCGGACAAGTACAGATACAAGTCCATTATCCGAGGCTATGAGAACAACATTAGTGACTTTCACCAGAACTGTTTCGGTGACATGATGAGCTGTAAAACCAGACTGATTATTGAAAAGTGCATTATGGTGTAAGCGGCCTAACACTTGTTTAGCAACTATTTTCTCAAGATTCTTAGATAAGAAAGGAAGATTTGATATAGGTCTATAATTGACCAAGTCATCTGGGTCAAGAAAACTTTCTGAAATAGGTTTGAGTACAGCTGGCATAAAATCTAATACAAACAACATAAAAATAAAACAAGCCAGTCCCATCGAGGCGTAATTGGAGACAATGACACACGAAGTGTGCTCCTGATGTCCAGTCTGCTCCGTAGCTTTGTTTTGGTTGCTGTAACCACAGAAAATCCTGCTTCACAAAGATAGGATGTTATAGATAGGATGAATCTTGAATGGAAATAACCTGTGTCAAGAGGCACAGATGCACCGACTGATGTAATTGGGGGAGAATACCGCAATTTTTTATATTTTTCAAAATAAAACATCACTCAGACTCTGATCGTTGATAAATTATATATACATATATATATATATATATATATATATATATATATATATATATATATATATATATATATATACTTTTTTCTGTGCGGCCCGGACGACGGACTGGTACCGGTCTGCGGCCCGGTGGTTGGGGACCGCTGGTCTAGGGTACATATCCCTATAACAGGGATAGGTTAACCAAATCCAGAATGTATGTGGAAATCAGAGGGAACTCTTCCTTAAATAACTTGGTTAGAACTGGATCTAACACACAAGTTTAAGGGTTAGATGAAGATAAAGGGTTTGTCAACTCTGAGAGTTAAAGTGAATCAAAACAGTCTGTTTCAGATTATATGGCTACCTTATATGCTTCCTCACCTTTTGGAGATAACCCAGTCATATTTAGAGGGGTGCCTATTTTCTTATTTTCAATAGGATTAAACTCATTTATAAAAAAAATCCCTTAAAACCACTGCTAAAAGTGGTACTGCTAAAAGCAGGGGGATGGATGGTTTAACAGAGTGGCTCTAAGTGAATCTGGAAACTGTATCAAAAATAAATCTAGGATTGTTCTCATTTTCCTCTATTAATGAGGAGAAATATGCTGCTCTTGCTTTATAAAGGGTAGGATTCCTGTTGATATTAAAGGAATAGTACACCCAAAACATGATTAGCCTTCATTTTCTACTCACCCCCATGCTGAACAACACTCTGGAGTACTTTTTTGATATCTCAAATGCATCTGGAGATCTGGGAGGCTTCTTGCTGTCTGCTGACATTCAAATAATGGAGGTCTATGGTGGCCGAGACAGAAAGGTCCATAAAAGTCCACAAAAAACGTGTGTCAATATTCCTCCATACTGCTCGTCCAATGTATTCCAAGTGTCCTAAGTGGGTAGCATCCATAATTTACTCGAAA